TTTTGTTCAACGGCGAGTCGAGCATCGCGTATTTACGACTTTGCGCATTTCTTTTGTTTTTGTTTCAAACACGCCACATCAGTGGCAAGTGTTCTTGCAGGGTATTCTGCGAGACTGTGTCACACATTGCAATTTGTCAGAGTCGCGCACATACGCGCGTGCTGATCCATTCCAATGCTTGAAGTCGCAAGGTTCCGCGCTGCTCCGCTGTTCTAGCCCGTTCAACTCTGCAAAAGCGAGTAGTTGACTGTCAAAACGGAGCGCAAGGGCAGGAGATTTGGTCCTGAGAGGTCCCTTTTTCAATAATCTAAGCTTTGTGTTGGAAAAGCAAATTCAAACTGAGCTTCCCTTGGATTTTCGTTTTGGGCTGATATATATATATGTATATACATATATATATATATATTTATGGACATAAATATTTAGATCCCCTGCTTCTGCATTAGCATCCTTTTTGGTGAGAGCGATCTTTAAAGCGGCACAAGGGCGAAGCAGTTGCACACATTCTTCTTTGATCTTGACCGAGTTTAACTTGCTGGTGCTCAGTGGGGAATGTGGGAATGAACCCAGGGTTTTTTTCTTAAAGGAACCAAAAGGGATGGTGTATAGGGGTCATTCCCTCATTCCCTGCCACATCCCCCAATCCAAAAAAGTCCTCCGCAACTTGCGCTTTAGACCTGGTAGGTTCCCTACCTACGGCACCTGGTCAGCACGGTGGGGGACAAGATCGATGCGTCTTCCTTTGACAAGATCCTCCGGGGAGGCGAAGGGATCGCAACACATGGGTTGGCCAGGGTGGCTCAAGTTGTTGGCTCAAGTTGCCTACATCCCCAAGGGAGACGCTGTGATCAGGACCCCAAGTGGCTAACCACTTGCTGGCAGCCAAGTGGGGAAAGGTGGGGGGGAAGTGGCAGACGCTTGAAGTGGGGCTTGTAATTTGGTTTGGGTTGGGGGAGGGCGCTGTGTTTGAAAATGCTGAACATCAGTTTGCAGACCAATAATGTTTTCGTTGTCGGTCTAGTTGTTGGTCTCGTTGTCGGCGTCATCGTCGTTGTCAGTTGTCAGTTGTCAGTTGTCACCACCATCATCATCATCATCATCGTCATCGTCATCATCATCATCATCATCATCCTCATCATCATCATCATCATCATCATCATCATCATCATCATCATCATCATCATCCTCATCCTCATCCTCATCCTCATCATCATCATCATCATCATCATCATCATCGCCAGCATCCTCTTCCTCATCATCATCACCACCACCATCACCATCATCATCGTCATCGTCATCGTCATCGTCATCGTCATCGTCAACGTCATCGTCATCATCATCATCATCATCATCATCATCATCATCATCATCATCATCATCTTCCATTTCGAATAAAGTCGTCCATGCTTTCGGCTCGGAAGCACGAAGGGTTCTGGGAGCTGAGACGATAGTTTCGGGCAGCGATTCGCGACACCATCAATTTTTGACTGATTCACAGCAAGCGCTGGTTCGCTCATCAGTTCGGAGAAAGCCATGCCTAGCTGGTTTGAGACTTCTCAGCAAAGCCGGCTGATTTTCATTCTTGCTCGCTGCGCATGCTCCAAATTATCAGGGCTAGCATCCATGGACAGACAAAAAGGTTTCGGACAGTTCTCGGTCCTCCCCTTTGAGCCCAAGTTCATATGAATCTTTTTATCGGTCCAATGGTGGACTGCATGCGATTTTACGTTTGCCAAGCGTCCGGTTGTTCACTATCAAGGAATCGAAGCCGTATTGGGTTTGCTCAATCTTCTTTCCACAAATAGGTGATTTCCGTTGAGCTTCCCTTTAGCACTCTAGCAAAGGTACCCTCCCGCCAAGTAACACGGAACCTGACAAGGAAAATGGTCCAAACCAGATCCCCGAAACGTCAGCATCCCCTCCCGCCAAGTAACACGGAACCTGGCAGGGACGCGGTCCCCTTACAAGGAACATGGTCCAAACCAGATCCCCGAAACGTCAGCATTCAAGATAATTCGTGGGAGGGTACCTTTTGCCTCGCGATGTCAGGAGATACCGCCGTGGGCGTCTCCATCCAAGGTGGGGTGAGGGCTCATGCCCGGGAAAACCATGCGGTCCGGACTGATACCAAGTCTCTTTTTTTTCTTCTTCCGGAAACGGCCCTAGACTGCATCCTTGTCCACGAGAAACTTGGTCGTTCTCAGGGTCCTCGGAACCACCAACACGGTCCAGAAAGACGAGGCCAAACACCATGGTGGGAACATTTGCATTTTTTTTTTTGCCTTTTTGGGAGGGTGGGTGGTAATTTCCGAGGACCCTGTTGAGCCTGTTTTATTGCCCCAATCGAACAGCTTGCCAAGCCCTCTTAGGTCCGTTTTGGGGGTTACGAAGAACGCACCCGTTCGTTCCGCAGCTCACAGAAAAGTTCTGCAGGAACTTCTACAGGAAATTCGATTTGATTATCCAAGGCTTATCCTAGCTTAGAAATCGTCGTCCGGCATAGGTGAGAGCTGCACCCTCGAGGAGTTCATGAACTTCCTGCAGAAATGAGCGAAATGAAATGGGGCTCTCGAAATCGTTCCTTGAGTTCGGGTGATGGAAATCTCACCTTTCGGGTTTAGGAGACGATATCGTGATATATATATATACATATATATATATATATATGTACACTCCGGCATCATTTTGGGTTGACACCTCAGGTTTTGGCTTATTGCCAGTTTCCTTTGGCTGTGATGTAACGGGGCATAGAAGGACAAACAGGCGCGCCGCGCTGAACGCGAGCGCGAGCCGAATGAGCGCGAGCCGCGAGCTCCTCCACAGGCAACGAAAGCGCCGCAAGTGGGGAGCCGAACGAGGCGGCCGAAAAGGGCGAGCGCCGGAAGTCTGTGTTCTCCACGCGGTAGGGCGTCTGTTTGATCGCCTGCTGTGCAGCTCAGGAAGGGTTTTGTGCGGCATGGAGATTCGTTCTTGGTTTCCCGTTGATAGCCGTTTTGCCTGTAGATGTTGCTTGGAACACAAATCAAACGGATGTAGGAATGGAAAGACAAATAAATTTATCCAGCTTGGTGATACTAGTTTGTTGGTTTTTCTTGAGAGGGGGGAGGGGGATGTAGGATGCTCATCCACCTTTTGGACAGACTTGGGAGAAACGTTGTACGAGCTCTGAAATGAAACCCTGGCCACTAGGCTTCCATTTTGACCATGACGCCATTCAACACTTGCCATCCTGAATCATTACCCCCCTGGAATCTCATTCCATGAGTTCAATCGGAGCACCCGTCACTGCTTGACGTCAAGGCCCATCTTTATTGGCGAGTGAAGGGTCCCCAAGCAGAATCAATGGCCCATGCCTACCAGTGCGATGCAGTCAACACAATGGCTATGGCCTTATGGCAAACCCGAGGTCGAGAAGCCCCCGGTGCTGATGTCTGAGTGCATCGGATGTCACGCTAGATTGGGCGAGCAGGTTTTGCAGCGGCCTGGTTTCTTTGGAACATCCCAAACACAAGGACAGTTGTGCAAGCATTCAGGAACATCTCAATCTCATCCGGCGGGCGTTTGATTGCGCGACTGCTGCATGGCTCAAGACGAAAAAGATACCCCCGGCCACTGTGCAAATCTCCACCTGGATTGCTACAACGTGTTCGAGTAGGTCCTCCAGTAGCAGCCATCAGCTGCAAGCCACGATGTCTGGCGCTGTTTGCTTGCATCCATTCGTGTAACTGCGGAGAAATGTGTATGCTGGAATCTCAAAGCAATCTATATTCAGTGTCTATGTGTAGATTGTGTAGACTCCATAACACATATTCCCAAAAGAAGGGTGGTGGCAACTCGTGGCAAAAGGCTGTTGCGTGTAGCGCAATGGCTGAGGCCACGGCGAGAGCAGTAGCTGAACCCTTGCAGCTATGCTCAGATGGGCCATATCGATGTTCTTTGCATCTCTCAAGGCGATCGATGCGGTAGGTGATGTACTTGTAAGTTGTTTGCTTTGCCATGGGTAAAACCAACATGGTTGCAAGTCCGCATTATGTGGGTACAACCAGCGTTACTACCCACGTACTCAGTACCCTGCCCCCTCAAGCTGATGCATGCCCAGTTTGGACCATAGGATTACAACCCCCGGTTTGCCTTTTGGTTTGGGCAGAGCGGCAAGCCAAAGCATGCCATTGATTACGTATAAGTGGAATACACAAAGTTCATCTCATCAATGCATGCCTCTTCCTCTAAATCAGCCTCTTTGGATACATTTTTGCATATGGGTATGGGTCAAAATTAAACCGCCAGGAATTGGACCGCAGGTTTCAGACCTCAGGTTCCATTTCGGATACCTTAATTGACCCACAGCCATATACTAATCCAGATACACACATCTGATTTGCCTAAGAGACCTTGACACAGGTCGACCTTTTGGACCCTTGACTAAATTTAAAGCCTGCGCAGCGGTGTTGGGTATTGGACAGCCTCGAAAGGGGAGAAGGGCGGGGCTCGCCATTGCCAGGTGCTTCTTCCCATTGGGACATTGGTTGCTCCCAAAAGGTCTGGGGCTCCATCTTCGAGAAAGCCCAAATGATTTGTGGACGACGACCTGTTCCTGTGTTTGATCGAGGGTACCCACTCAGGCCTTGGTTTAATGGGAACCCCGTTTTGGGGTCCCCCCCCCATTTTGACCAGGTTTCGGGCGGTGAACAAGTGTGGGGGCCCGTGGTCTCGTTTTCTCAAACAGGGTACAGCTTACCCCAAAGCAAGCGGGCAAGGGCAAGATGGTTTTGGGAGATGCAAACGACCTCAACGTTTGGGACCATTTTGCATCTTTGCCGTTGCCCAACATGATGAGCAAAGAACATACTGTATTTATGTCCTAGGTTTGGGGTTGTACATTGACCAAGATTTGCCGAATTGGCGAATCTTATTTTTTCAGGGATACCCTGCCACCAAGTAACGTGGAGGGGACCTTCTGTCACCTCCATGCTTTTTGCGGGCTCTCATGTTCAGCGTGAATGGCGGTGATTCTTCCTTTTTGCAGGCCATATTGCATCCCCGCGACTTCTTTCCAGGAGCACCCGCACTTCTTCTTCTTCTTCTTCTTCTTCTGCTTCTTCAATTTGTTTGGGTCATTTTCCAAACAAAAGCATGACTTCCTGGTTCCGTTTGCGTTTGGCCGCACTTGCCTCCGTGCTTTCGGCCCCGAACTCGCGCGGCTTCTCGCTCGCTCGTCGCTTTTCTCGCTTTTCTGCGTTGGAACGCGCTCGAGGCAGCCGGTGTTAGACCTCCTGGAGCGGGAGTTCGCCGGGCTCCGGGCGGAGCTGGTGAGGGAGGTGAAAGGCGCTCAGTTCGTTCGCGCGCGGAACCGGAAGTTCTCTTGTCGGAGCGGATGGGTGGGGTCGAAAGGAGGGTTGGGAGCTTCTTTTTCTCCATGTGCTGAAACAGAGGTTGTTGTTTTACTCCTATTTTTCAAGATGGGTTTTTAAAGGGAATTGATTTCACTGGACACATGTTCTCATTTCTTCCTGGCGGAGCAAATGGAAGGGACGCTGAAGTGATGGAGCCTTCCCTGGAGCCATCGGGGGTTTCGGTGGATGGACCTCGCAAAGCGCTTGACGCTGGGAAAGTGCAGGACCCGCCTGCCCTCCGTTTTCCAGGCACATTTGTTTTTTCCCCAACAGCTGTTGGGGATATCACCTGAGTTTTTTTTTTTGGGTTGCGGCCCAACCGGAAGGTGAGATCAGAGTCAGTGAGAGAAGAAGTTCGGGGTCAAATCCCAAGGTGTTTGACACTTGTTGTTTTTTTGCC